GAAGACGACGCAGAATCCACAGATGGGCTACCAAGGAGAGAAGCAGAGAGCAGAGGAAACTACGAATTTCAGTGAAATGCAAGTTTTAAGCTAAAAAGATCATTGCTAAAAGGCACCTAGGCAAAAGGGGTAAGAAAAGGCTATCAGAAAGACACGTTTTGCCTTTCATGCCCTGGCCAAAGGCTGCGACTTTTCTCAGTTTCGAAAGAGAAATAGAATCTCTGGACTGGGACACCTGTGAGAGCGGAGGGTGGGAACCTTTCTGAAGGCAGAGGAAGTGGGCCCTCCCAGGCCACCGCTAAGGCTGCAGCCCTCTCCCTCCCACTGCCCAGCACGCAGGCAGCCCAGCAAGAGGCTGGAAGGCACTGTGTCTTTTCCTGGGTAATCCGAAGAGACCCTAAGAAGCCGACTGGATGGCTCCAGAAAACAGCCCTGCCAGGTGCCTCCAGGGCGAGGCAGAGCGGGCAAGCCCAGCCACAGGCGCAGGGGCCTCGTGACAAGACAAACAAGCAGGCAGGAGACCATCCCCTCGCAGCCCCAGAGAGGCTGTTGCGAAAGGCAAGGCCCCCAAACAAACAAAAAGCAGCCTGAAGGATACAAGGACTTTCGGGAAAAGAAAATTCTAAAAGTCACTCATGTCCTCAGAGGAGATACCACATCTATGAAACAGAAACATGAGGCTACAAAATAGGAATGGAGAGCACAAGAGAAAGCTCTTTGAAACAGGGTTAGAAAGACACAACAGAAGGACTAGAAGATGAAGTTGAGGATGTCTTCCAGAAGGAAAACGGAAGAGCTGAGAAAAGCAGGGTCACTCCAGAGGCTGTAAGAACTTCATTCTAAAAAGAGAAAGCGAATGGGAAGAAATCAAAGCAATAAATCAGAAAAAATGCCCAGCTTTGGACGAGTTTCCAAATAATGGGGCCCCGAGTGTGGGCAAGACATTAGATAAAAACAAACTCCAAGGGACATCAGCACACTGGGTGTTTCCAATTTAACAAGCAGAAAAATCCTTCAAGCTGCAAAAAAGAAAACAGTCACATGTAAAGGCTTCAGCACTAACGCTGGCAGGCGGGGTGCGGAGCAGCATAGCGGTGCCCAGGCTCTCGTTCAGGGACAAGGGTGGTGGAGAACTTCCAGGCACGGAGGTTTTCAGAACTTTCCCTCCCGTGCATCTCCTCCTGGACAACTCCTTGAGGAGCTGTTCCATCAAAATGAGAGGGGGTAAAAACCAAGAAAGAAAAGCAGGTTCCAGGAGACTGGGGACCCAGCATGAAAGGGGCAGTGAGAGCTTCAGGGAGATTCCAGCAGGTCGGAGGCCTGGGACAGATTTATTCACAATGAGATTAATAAAAAACAGAATTTCACCAGATAAAAAGGACTAAATTTCTTGAAAAGAGATTTAGACAAATTGGTGAACTGGCGTTGAGTTTTAGTGACAAATATGCAGAAAACTATGCAAACAAAAACAACATTCAGAGGAACTTCATGGAAAACAAAAACTATCCAGGAAAGGAGTGATCCATGGATGGCACTGCGTGGTCCTAGTGTAAACGCTGAGCACTGACCTGACTGATTAGAGAGGCACCTACCCTGGGCAGCCAGGCATGTGTCTGCACAGCAAAGGCAGAGGGCAAAAGAAAACTGGACACTTCCTACCTACTCTGAGACAAGGGAAGGGGACACGTAACACAGGAGGGGAGGCCACAAGCCAGCCAGGCCAGCACATACATGCTCTTCAGCGGTGGCGGCAGAGACTGAAGGAATCGGCTAAGAGCAAAGGTAGATGGTCTGCAGGGGAGGAAACGTGACAGGGGACGGAAATTCAGTTTTTCCTTCCAAGTCTTTCTAGATTTATTTGACCTCTTAAAAACGATGGAAAGATACATACTTGATTTGAAATAAAAGTAATCTTTAATTTTAAAATTCATATGAATGCCAATGAAAGGTATTAAGGGAGGGTATGCACAATGCATTGTTATCAAATTAACAGCAAGCAGCAAGATGACCAGCCCCACGCGATGCCTGGAACAACGTGCCTGCCCGCCTTCGGGGTCCCCGAGGAGCCCCAGTGTGACGGGGGAAAGCGGCCTACGAGGGCTGTCACTTCCAAAACGTCACTGATTTGAGAAAGAAAATTTTGCTTAGCCCAAAACAAATTATATAATCAATTTTTAAAGTGTATACACCGGGAAAGAATGTAATTCTTTTCGTGGTTTTCAAATGTTGGATGTGGTAGTGCTTCTATAATTTAAAGGAAAAGGCATTCTGACCCACTGATGTCCTCTGGCGGCTTTTCTACTTGGTCAAAAACTGGCACAACATCCATCTTAGTCTCTTTGCTGCCATAACTCAGTAACTGGGAACTCAGCTGTGTGCTGTTTCTTCCAGGAGCTTGGTTATTTCCTAACAGAAAAGGGACAGGTCTTCCTATGTATGATCACCAGCCCTGTGCGAAGGATGTGTGCTGAAGCAGTGACACCCGACGTGGGGCGGGGCAAAAGGACGCTTCCAGTCGCTCATATGGAAAATAATACGATGATTAATGAGCAGTACTACAAGAGTAAACACCGTGCTTCACGAATTCACAGCTGTCAACCTACTTTTTCCCTACCCTGTGTAAGTGCCTCTCAGTACTTCAAAAAGTGTGTTCTCTGCTCAAGCCCTTTCAGTAAGTGAACACGGTTCAGTTCAGGGAAGCATTAATGGGGAATGTGTCTGATCCACTTGCGACTAAAGGTCACAAGTCACCCTGGCGGACAGTGTGATCACCTGAAACCCTGCAGGTCTTACTGAAGGGCATGACGTCCTTCACTAGCAGCTCTCAGCAAGCCTGCCATGCTTTGAGAGGTTGAAATGCACCAAATTCTCCAGCTATTGCTGAAGTATGTCCAGCTTTAGCTGTCACATGTTTGCTTTGTATCAGCTAGTCTTCCTGTGTGGAACTCCCCGTCCTGCCAACTCCACCTGGAAAAGCTCTTACCTGTCCTCTAAACTCCATTTCAAGAAACACAGTCTTTGTGAAGACTTTCCAACAGGTAATTCTTGCCTCCTCTTCCTCTGTCCACGTGTTAGACCTACCCCCATTACCACAGTTAGACCACTGTAATCTAGTTCTTCTCTTACCAGTAAATCCTCCATAGTAAACTGCTTGAGGAAGAAGAAAAAAAAAAAAAAAGGCTACATTCTCTTTATCTTTGTGCCCTTAACAGTGTGAGGCACACAGAATTCACAATGAACGTTTCTTGAATTGAACTGTTGAAGAAATGAGTTATGAGGCTGGAGTCAGGCTGTCAGAAGCCCCAAACAGCAAAACTAAAGGAAAAAAAAACACTTGCTGATTCAGGAAGAAACTCTCCCGTGTGGCAGCTGGGACGTCAGCGCGGCGCCCTGGGGAGGGCGCTGGGACCGGGATCCCAGGCACCATGCGGCACAGCCCAGCGATCTTAGGCACGCTCTCCTCTGCCCCCGCCCCAGCACATATTCCCAGGGGTGAAAGCTGGATGGGACAGGTGAGCCCCGAAACGTGCAGGCGCACAGCTGAACTAAGGGCAGCTACAGGGGAGTTCAATCCTCAGGTAGGTTATTTACTGGCTTTCAAGTGTTCCCCCTAGAGGCTCGGTTCTCTCCAAGCCCATAGCTTATGAAAGGCCCAGAGAACTGGGAAGTCACGTGAGGAAAGCCACTGTAAACCAAATACCTTCTCAACTACTTTCAACACTGCTTCCAAACATCCTACCATTAATCGTACTTAAGGAGTTTAGCTTGGAAGTAGGTGTTCAAAATGATCAAATATAAACCTCCCACGTAATACAACCCCAGGTTGGCTCCCATACACGACCATCAAGCAGCTGCCTCCGACCGTAACACCCTGTCTCTACAGGGCCTTGAGAAAGTTGCCTGCCAAGGAAGTGAGCATCCTCAAGCAGACCCCGACCCAGACGAGGTCACTACCTGAGGGCTGAAGACACCCGAGGGACGGAGGACCCAGAACCAAACCCAAAGCAAGAGAGCCAGTCATCCTTGCTACTGATGTCTCATTCGACCAGAAACGTTGTTTAATAAACAGCACAAGGGTCGATTTTTCCGTCGGTTTTACGTGGCACCTCAACTCCATGCAAAGTCTGGCCCTCGCGTTTTCTAAGACGGGTGACAGGATATGCAGCAGCTGGCCCTGAGCACTTAACCACTTTCCAAAAACCGCCCTCGGTATCCGCTAGTGCCAGAAACAGCTTCGGGGTCCCAACAACACGGTGCCATCGCCTGTCACACTCGAGACTGCGTGCACTTTCGGTCGGAGGTGAGCTACAAAAGCTTCCTGCGTGCGGGCATCTGCGCCCAGCCTTGAGCAAAACGTCGAACGGCCGCCGGGCCTGCACAGCCCGTTGGGAGGGAGCGAGGACACCCCGGGCGCGGCAGGGGGCAGCGCTGCTCATATCCCGGCCCGCCGGCCGGGCAGGTCGCCCTCCCGTCCCCGAGCCGCGCCGTTGCTGCGGTCTTGGGGGAGCCCGCCCCCCAGATCTCACCTCCCGGCCCAGATCACGGGACAGCGAGAGACAAGACCGTGCCGCCCGGCCCCGCCCCGCCCCGCCCCACCCCCGGGCTCAGGCCCCAGCCCCGGGCGCCCGAAGGCCACTTCCCCGGGGACAGGCGCCCAACTCTATGGTCCGCGCGTGAGCCCTCCGACCCACATGACCTGCGGCAGCCAATCAAGGCAAGGGCCATGACCATCGAGACGGCGGCGGCACGGGCTAGAGCGGCCCCATGCGCCCACTTGCCGCCCCCTTGCCGGCCCCGCTCCAGAGCTCCCAGCTCGGTGCTGCCGCCATCTCCTGGACGAGAGCCAGAGGCAGAGGCGCCCCTCCCTGCGGTCGTTCCGCATTCTTACCGCCACCTGCCTTCCCCCGACTGCCTCTCTTCTCCTCAGCCGTCACTTAGCTCATTCTGAAGAATTTCCCTTCCCCTCACTCTAGTTACCCACAGGCGGAGAATCACATTACCTGTTCCAGTCTTATCAGCGTAAGGAAATCAGGCTCACAAGGTGGGAACTGTGGCGAAACAGGGACAGGCCGCCATCTTGGTAAAGGAGAAGGGGCTACGCTTGACCTCTCCCCCACCCCCAGCATCTATATGGCTAACCGCCGTGGGAGGGGCACAGCGCCTGCGCAGAGGCGGAAAACGCGGACGAGTCTGCGCCTGCGCCCTCAGAAGCCGGCGAATGGGGGAGGGAAGGAAGGATAAGATGTGCCGAGGCGAGGATAGCGTTGGCAAAGGGGCGGAGCGACGTGATGACGCAATTCGCCTGCGCGGGAGGCGGGGCGTGAGAAGACGGCGGGCGCTGGCTGGGTGTGTGGCGGGGTCGGTTGGCTACTGTTCTACACCTTCTCGGTGGTGAGTATCGCGTTGCGGGTTACTGTTGCTGCTGCCGCCGCCGGGTTACGAGGTATGGGCCGACACAGAAGGGGCCGGGGAGCCCTCACGGGGCGACGGTCAGCCGTTCCGGGGGGCGCGCGGACAGGGGTGACCGCGCGGAATGGGGGAGGGGCGGCCGGCCGGCCGAGGGTCCTTGTTTCCCTCGCGCCCCTTCCCCGCGCGCCCGGATTTCTTCTGTTCTCTGCGCTTTCCCGGACCCTCCTCGGTCCCCTCCGGCCCCCGCCCCCGGGAGCTCTGGCTCGGGCGGAAGCGACGGGGTGTGTCCCGGGAGAACCCGAGTGACCCCTTACTCGCCCCGTGGGATGATTCCGGGGAGCAGTCCCAGTGATTGGTCTGGGGTGCCGTTCATGCAGGCGGCGGTCGTGGTCCGGGAGGGAGAAAGCAGGTTGGGGGCTGTCGGGCCCTTTGGGTGGCTGTGGGGCGTCGTGCGGCCATCCTTTTGTCGCCCTGACAGGGGCCGTTCCATCCGGCCAGCGCCCGGCAGAGGGTAGGCCTCGAGAAGTTCTTGCCGCCTGGTCAACTTTTCAGGCGGCCCCTGGCCGCAGGCAAAAAGCGGGGCAGCGGAGGAGGCTACCTGCGGGTACCGCTGCCTTCCGGGAAGCCCCAATTCTGACGTGGGCCACAGCACCCACGCGACCCGGCCACAGTTTACCTTTCTGCCTCATTTTTTGCCGGTGCCGTCCGTAACTTGTCTGCCCGCCCCCCCCTTGGACGCGTGACCCAACCACACCGAGTTGGTTCAGACTGCTGTGGTCTTTCTCACCTTCGGTCTTGGCCCAAACCCTTTCTTTTGTTGGAACTCGGTTACCTCCCCGTCTCCTCTGCCTTTTGCTTGCCTAGTTCCACTTCTGCTATTTAGGACCTGGCCCAGGTTAGATTTCCTCCGGCTGGAGTAGGAGTTGGCCCGGTGTCAGCCTTTGTCCTGCTGTGCGGCAGTTGTCCGCTGGACCCTGGGTCCTGTGAGGGGCGAGGATGTGTGGATTTAGCCGCCCTTACCATTATTGCTTAGCACAGTGACCCCCCCAAACACTTCTTGAGCGAGTTCAATCGTTGTAGTACCTTTGAGGTAAATTTAATGTTCCAAAGCAGCGTGACCAGCATGAGGAGATACACATAATCGAGGAAGGGGTCAGAAAAGCTGCTTCCTGGTGGTCATGGCCCGGGGTCCATGGTTTGCGCATTTGGTAGTTTGGACGCAGGCTTCCTTTGCACCACCCAGCATCCTAACTCGTGTGCTCTGCTCTGTTGAGTCTTGGCACTGACGTTGGCTATCAAGGATATCCTGGTATTCTTTTGCACCTTCCACCTTAATCTCTCACCCAGCACAGCAGCCCAGGGTAAAGAACAAGGGCTTTTCAACCAGATCAGATTTGCTCTTGAACTACAGTAGCTTGGTGACCTGTGGAGTTGCTGAAGGGATGGGGGGAATCTCCCCCTATCGTTTATATTTGTGATTGCGATCCCTTTTTATACCTAATTCCAAAGACAAGCCGCTGAAAAAAGAAAAGTGTGTTATTTTCCCAGAGAAAGGGTCACCAAAACTCATTTTGGAGAAGAATTGCATTGAAGCCATTGTATAGTCTGTATTCATCCCACTTTGGGCTAATGGTCATGCATGTCACTACCTAAGGTGCGTTTGCTTGCAGGGCGCTGCCCCGGATGCCCTGCAGGCTGTGAGGTGGTGTGTTGTATGTGCACCATCTTCCAGTCCAGAGGCTCTTGATTGCCAACAGCCAAGGGCACTGGATGAGGGATTCCGAACCTCCCAGGTCCTACATTGCAGGGTCATTTTGTGGACGTGGGTAACGTATGTAAATGAAAGAGTTACGTGCCAATGAATGGTAATTATGGGTATCCAATAATACATATGCCACCAGCAAAATATGTTTATAATGCCACAGATCCAGCTTTATCCATCTTTTCTTCATCTTTTATTTTGGAAAAGTTGATTTCTTCTACATGAATTGGGATGAGAGTATTGCTTTGTGGAAGAAGGAAGCCATAGGTCGAGGACAAAAGCATTTTAAACAAGTTCTAGCATCTAGAATGAACACAGTCTGAAAGAATAAAATTTTCATTTGGCCACATTTCCGAGATTTGGGGGATCCCAATGTTTAAATTAATCAGTGCTTGGCATTTTGCATTGGTGGATCAAAGCTTTCTCACTTAAAATGAGGTGCTTCAGTCAATGGCCCGAAGAGGAAGCAATTGAGAATTTTAAAAAGAAACTGCTGTGAAGAAAATTTTAAGTAATTTTACAGGATTTTTAAAAATATTGATTGTAGAGAGAGAGAAACATCAGTTTGTTGTTACATTTATTTATGCATTCATTAGTGGAACCTTCAACCTTGGTGTATTTGTACAACGCATAAGCCAACTAAGCTACCAGGCCTAGGTCTAAGAGAGACTTTTACAGTATTTCAGATGTTTACAAATCATGATCTGTTAGAACTGGGGGTGGGGGGGTAAAAATAACCCCCATTTTGGAACGTTCCTGGATAACCCTTGAATCGAGGGTCAAACAAAACCACAAGCTACCTAGAAAACAATGGAAAGAAGACAAAGCAAAATTTATGACGCACAGCAAAAGCTTTATAGACTCAAATGAGAATTTGAGTATTACATCTTTTCCTTGAAAACAGATTTCACTGAAAATAAGTTTGTTTCTGACAATATTAAGAAATGAACAAAATAATTCAATAGAAGAGTAAGCTCTAGAAGCTGGTTCTTCGAAACAAATTCCTCAGCTGTCCCATTACGGAAAAAAGCAAATACATATAGAAAAAAAGGCGTGAGCACAGATATAGGAGATGGTCAAGATAGCGACAGATGTGAAAATCCAAGGGAAGCAAGTACTGGCAAACCGACTGGAACAGATGCCACTGAACAGCCCAGTGATGATCCACCAATGAAAAGGGACCAAGACTAAGCAGGAAGAGAGGTGAATTCCATCCAACCCGAAACAGATAACACCAGTGTCATGTAAGCCACTGCTGGAAAAGGGAAAGTACTCTTCAATTTGTTTTATGAAGAAAGCATAACTTTAATAACAAATACAGATGGAGACCTAAGAAGGAAAGCTAGCTAGCTATAGGTTTGCCTCATGAATATAAATGCAAAAATTCTCGGTGGAATATTTGCTGGCAGTTAGATTCCAGAAATATGTACCTAAAGCATCTAATAAGCTGTTAGAACAAATTAAAGGAGAAAAATCAAACGTGGATAGATGCTCAAGAGACATGATAAAATTCAGCAACCAAGTCTAGTGAAAATAGTAACGGTATTATTGCCATAAACCAGTGACACATTTTTCTCTAACTCCCCTTCTTATACTGTGCAGCATCCCTACTTTCCTTCGAGCATACCTTAATTCTACCACCTACACTGAAACACATTTTGGATAATCTGGGCCCAGCTTCACCTGCTCCTTGCCAGTAGTCCTTACTTGGAGCTCTGGGCTTCACCAGATCCTCCCCCTTCCCATCCTTAGTAAAGACGTGCTATAGCAAGAAACAGTCTACGAACTGCTTGTTAGTGTTAAACTCAGCCTCCTCTTCCTCTCTCCCCCTCATTCTTCCAGACCAAACCATACAGGGGGTTCAGGGGCCTCATTTCTTCAGAGGTGGCTGGGAACATTTCATTCAGAAGGGAAACGAAGGGCCTGCAGTATTCAGGAATGCTAAGGTTTGGGGGAAATGAAGGGGTAAGAAAGTGAAAGAAGCTTTGTAACACAGTTTCTGAGCTCCACAGGAAATAAAATTTGACTGTATTCACATCTCCCAACTTTGTTGCCAAAGGCTAGCCGCCAGACCCCACGTTTCCCAAGGTTTCAGGGCTTGTAAAATTTGCCTTCGAAGTCCAGATCTGTCTAAAACTGTCACATTTCTCCAACTCGCAAGTGCCTTCATCCCTTTTTCCTTTGCTTCGTAAGTGTAGTTCACTTCGTTCCCCGGTGTCACAGCCTGCTCCTTGGGAGCTCTGGGAGCCTGGCAGCTGGCACCGCGCTCTGCAGCGCCCCCTTCTCGCTGAGAAGGCTCAGGGAGGAAGAGCCCCAGTGCCAGAGCTCCTGGAGACTGCTTTCTGGTGGTGTCTGTAGTGCCTGAAGTGTGCTCGTTACTGGAGTGGGAATGTTCTTGAAAATAAGGATTGTCGTATGCATGTATACATAGGTGTACGTGGTTGCTTTCATTGACTAATTATTCATATCTAATTTCTCTTTATGTGAGATAATTTTATCATTTCTGGGGAAGTATTTGATGTTATTGAGAAGTTGAGTAAAACAAGCTCTTGGTGTCTTGTGTGTACGTCTTTCATGTCGGTTCATGCTAAGTTAAATACATGTATGTGTTACGGATATATGCATGTGTGTGTGGTTTTTGTTTTTACAGATTGACGGAACTTGACTGAAGATGTCTAAGGTAAGGAGAAAATGCTTTATGTTCTTAAACTCAGTCAAAATTTATGATTCACTATTTTTAATACAACTGATATATTCAACTTATTAAGACAGAGTTCTAATTTAATTGTCCTAAAAAGCTTTGAGCTTTCTTTTTTCAGATTTCCAATTTTTTGTTTCTAAATACATCAGGAATAATCCATTTAGGTTCCTAGATCATTCCCAGAGGACTAATCCCATAATTTAAAATTCTAAGAATTTATCATGATGAAATTGATGGGGCTCTCCACCTTGATAAATTGGCTTTTATTATCTTTTGCAGATTAACACAGAGCCCTGAAGTAAATTAGTTCTAAAATATTAGAGAAAAGCAGAACTTGTGGTTAAAATGACAAGATTTTTCTTTCTTTTTGCCTTTTGTTTTTGAGTCTATGGGTGTTACTGTCTGATGCGTAAGCATCATGCTAGTTTTTGCTTTTTATACAAGTATTAATGTGAAACACCAGTGAGCAAAAAAGAAAATAAAAATTAACCATAATTCCATCACCCAGAAATAACCACTGATAGTTCCTTCTGAGTGTTATTACTCATGTGCACATGTGAATATACAGTTAGAAAGTAAATAAATCAATGGATGTGTTTTGATTTCCTCCCATTTACAGTGTGCCTAATTCTACAATTCTGCTTGCTTTGCCCCATGTCCATCTGTCATTCCTCGTATCAGATGTCTGTCTGTCCGTCACTCAGTGTTGTCAGCTGTGTCTCATTCTCAGTCTTCTGTGCCTTGGTCTTCGATCCCACTTAATCCCACCCCTAAGAGTTGCCTGCCTCACCCTTGATGAGGCTTGTTCCTTAGAGCGAGGAATATAGCAGGAGATGTGACTTTTTTCTGGGGACTTTTCAGAAATGCATCACACCTGACACGTTCTCTTATGTATTGTTTAAATGCTTAACAGAAATGGAATTTTAGATCAGCACATAGATAAGAAATAATACGGGGTTGGTTTTTCTACTTTTTAATAAATGTTCTTAAGTGAATACCATTAGTTCTCTCATAGAAGTGACTATCTGGAAATGTAATTTATATATTATGTATATTTAGTTTGTGAAAACTAATGGTACCTATGTTTGTCACAGCTTGATTATATCTTAAAAACAACTGATAAGGTTTTTATTTTCTCTCTCCCTTTTTTTTTTTTTTTTTTTTTTTTTTTTTTTTTTGTAAAATTTTATTTTAGCAACAACCAGCCCAATTTATAAATCCAGAAACTCCTGGCTATGTTGGATTTGCAAATCTTCCCAACCAGGTTCACCGAAAGTCAGTGAAAAAAGGTTTTGAGTTCACACTAATGGTGGTTGGTAAGAAATTTACTTTTACTTCCTAGCTTATTAAGTCTGAGGGTGGGGAAAACAAAACAAAACAAAAACCAGAATCATCCTCTGGAGGGTGGGCCCCTTACAGTACAGGCTTCTACTAGGAACCCATCTGTATCAGTGCTCCACCGGTGGTGTGTGAGAAGTTATGTTCGGCCTCAGTGAAATTTTTTTTTCTTTGAAGACTATTTCAATGTGTTTGCCCATTCGTGATGGGTGATTTACTACTGCACCTGCCCAAACTGCACTAAGTGTTGAGCAGTTTTTGACCAAAAATGGCATGACTCCCTTAACTCACCCACCTTATCCCCCTGATCTTGCCCCAGCAACTTCTTTTTATTTCTCTGGGTGAAAAAAGTCCTCAAAGGGAAATGTTTTGTTGATGTTCAAGAGGTGAAACAAAAAATGGCAGCACTAAAAGGCATCAAAATCAACAAGTTCAAAAACTTCAGAGCAGTGGGAAAAAGTCTCAGTAAGTGTATTGCATCAGATGGAGAGTACTTTCAAAGTGACTGACGTTAAAACATGTAAGAATAAATACATAATTTTTATAAATAAATCCCAGATCTTTTGGGTCCTCTCTTGTATGTGGCTACCTCCCCAGCCTGTGAAGTGTAATACTAGCATGACCTATAAAGTCAAAGGGGAATTCCTTCATTGGCGGAATCAAATAACTTGGGAATTGGGGGTGGGGGCTGTATTTTTATATTTGTAGAACATTTCGCTTCAGTACAATTACAGTGTTTCTGTCATTTATTTATATGTAGTGATAGTTTTTACTCATTATGGCAGCCAGCCTCCCAAATGCTGCCCAGTGACCCTCACCTCCTGGTGTTCATGCCACTTTCTAGTCCCCCCCCCCATACTGAATAGGGCGCCCCTGTGTAGCCAGTGGGACAGTGCAGAAAGGAAGGTACGTGACTTTGAGACTGGGCCACAGAGGACATTGTGCTTGCACCTTGCCTTCCCTTGCTCATTCTGGGGCCGCCAGCTACCACGTTGAGAAGATACTCAAGCAGTCGTATAGGGAAGTCCCACAAGGCCAGGAACTGCGGCCTGCCGGTAGCCTTGCAGTGGCCCCTCTCAGAAACACCCTCCAGCCCCAGCTCAGCCTGAGGTGACGGCGTCCTGGCCGCCATTCACTGTTAGTGCGTAAGAGAATCCCCAGCCCGCGCTGCCAGCCACAACTTCTTACCATGGACAATCCCAGATTCCCGACCAGAAAGTCCTGGAAAAAATAGTAAATGTTTATTGTTGGTTTAGGTCTCTGAGTTATACAATAGTTTGTTGCTTATTAATAAGTAACTTAAATACATTTAATTAGAAGTGTTTAATACTTTTTAAAAATTTCCATTTTTGTGGTAGATATATTTTATATACAATTCTTACTATACAAGTTTTTTTTTAATTACTAAAGTCCTTTGAAATTGAGTTGTTACTTGAAATTTTAATCTGTTATCAGATGTATATTTTTGTGGGTTATAGCATATGTCATGTTTCAGCCTGACCATAACAAACTTAACTATTAATTCTGCTTATCGTAGCCCATTTCATTCTTGATAATGGTAAAATTCTCCCCAAAATGAGGAGGTATTTTGATGATGGTCACGTATGAGTAGAGCAAGTCATCGTTTCCTAGGGTGAATAGTTCATAACCCTGACACGAGAGAGACTAGGACCCTCGGTCCAAAGAAGGGAATGGCGACAGGTTTTATGATCACAATCACTAGATGATGGCGACGATGCAGGTTCAAGTCCCTGACAGAAGAGAGGAACCCGGTGCCCTCTGCCCCACACCTCATGTGAGAGCATTCTAAAACAGGCAGTGACTTTTGCTTCTGGCCACGATAGAATAATTAATAGGACCGGACAGTGAATGTCTAGGGTTTTGTGAGCCCGTCTTTGTGCAGCCATTCAGTCGTCCTGCTGTCGCAGGGCACGGCTGTGCCCCGGGGAAGCTTTATGTAGAGGCGGGGCCAGGATGTGCTCGGGGCGCCCTTCACTGCTCCCCGAAACAGCTGCTGCCAGACTCGTCCTGGCACGGATAACTGAAGGCCGGTTGGCATGTAGGAGACAGCTCTTGTAAGACATTCTGCAGCAGGCAGTGCAGGACTCTGGTCCTCGAGAGGAGAACAAATCCATGAACTGTAGTCTTTCCAGCTTCCTGCTGTGCCCTCCCTCTGCCTTGGGGAGGGCTGAGGGGGTTAGAGCACGAGGGTCTCATGGCTGAAGGACTTGCCGTCATCAGGGAAGCTGGGTACCTGGGTCCCGAGGTAGCATTGCGGGATTCCAGAGACAGCCTGGGCTCCAGGAGGTCGCATGGGTTCCCTTGGACACTGTGGCTGACGCTGTGACAGTCCACGCAGCTGTGCAAGAGTCGAGGAGAGCGAGCGGAACTGGAGACTGCAAAGGTGGAAAGCCAGCCTGGAGTCAGGACACGCTGGAATCCCAGCCCATCAGAGAGGACTTCCCTGAACACCCAGGGCATTCTGTAGAAACTCCAGAGGGTGCTTACCGAGGAGTTGGGCCAAACCAGACAGAAAGGCTGTTAGAAACCCTCCCTGACAAAGCTTTAAAACAAGACATGAAAGAATTAACTGTTTTCTAGGATAGGTCCCATCACTCATTAGAGGAGGACATCAAAGTCCGGACATTTAGAGTGTAACATTCACAATATCTGGTGTCCAATAGAAAACTGCTGGATATGCAAAGAAGCCAAAAAAAAAAAAAAAAAAAGTGACACATGACGTAGAGAGAAATCAGGCAACAGCAGCAAACTGGGAAATGATAGAGATGGTGGGGTGGGCAGATGAGCATGTAAATATTTTAAATGTGCTCCTGCCCTCAAAGGAAAAATGTGACTATAATGAGGTAAATAGAATATTAAAAAAAGAACAAAGTGAACTTCTAGATTTTTTTTTTAAATGCATCTGAGATGAAGAATTTTCCGATGGGCCAACAGCAGCAGATTAGAGACTGCAGGGGAAAGGGGACAGCAGAGAGCTTCCAGACTACTTCGGCACCATGCGGAATAAATACCCACATTTAGTGCTTCCTTTTTTTGGGGTTTGCTATAACCCCCCAAAAAATAAAGGGGAATAAATAGAATAAAGCTTAAAAGTAGACAGGAAAAAAAAAAGGAAAACACATTACATACAGAAGATCAAAATTAAGAAGATAACTGGCTTCTCAGAAATAATGTTAAGCCATGTAGAATGACAGCTTAAAGTACTGATGGAACAAAACTGTCAGCCTAGAAGTGTTCACCAAAAATAACCTTTAAAGATGGAAGACATTTTCAGATAAATAAGCTGAGAGACTTAGGACTAGCAGACCTGCACCATAGGAATATTAAATGAGCTCCTTCAGGTTGAAAAGAGAGGAGGAAGCACTGGGAATGGCAGAGGTATTGTAAGTAAAAAAGATCTCTCATGTTTTAATTGGTCTGAAGATGACTGACTTTAAAACAAAAATAACTGTGTACCATGTGGAAATAACATGGACATGAATAGCAAAAGAGCACAATCAAAAAGAAAGCAGAAGAGGAATGGATGAGACAAATAGGAAAAGTGTGGCAAAATGACAGACTTGAACCCAACCATGTCAGTGATATGTCAATGGACAAGGCAAAGCTAAGGGAAGGACCGTTATCTCAGCAGCAGAAAGACAAGTCAACAACGGTGCTGCCTCCAGACGGTGGAATCCTGCTCAGCAAATAGACTTGGACTGCTGAGAAGTCCACAGCACAGAGTAATCTCCAAAGCTAATTACGGCGAGTAGAAGCAGCCAGACAGATGGCCTGAATGAGCCTGTGTATGTGAAATTCTGCAATAAGTAAAGCCAATGTGTAGTGGCAGAAAGCAGATAGACGTGTGCATGCATTGGAGGCTAGAGAGAGCAGCTCCTTTGTGGTGTGGAGACAGTCCTTATGTCCAGTGGAGTGTGGCTGCCTGGTGCACCCTGTTGTCACAGAAATCCAACTGTGCAGTTTAAATGAGTGCCTGGAGCTGAGGTCTATGTAAACTCCACACTGTCGGTCAAGCTGAGGGGTTACAGGTGAGGTGGGTAGTTAAAAACAAAGTTAACCACAAAATGCTCACCTTTTACATTGTAACTATTAGCAGCTCAAGAAATAATGGCGTGTCAAGAAAACCCTACACCAGCTTGTAAGTCAGACTGTTGGAGCAGAAAGGCAAGGTTTTTCAAATTCTAGCAGATGTCTAAAGTGAGAAACTTCACAAAATGGCAAACCATATGCAGATGAAAGACCACTAACTGGGCAGAAATCTGCAAGGAATTTGAAATCACCGGCTAGTTGTTTGTCAGTGTCGGCTAGTTGTTTGTCAGTGTCGAGGGAGGAAGCGGGTTGGCTGTGCTGCCTATAGCGTCGACCCAAGAGGCAGCAGCTGGCGATGACCTGCATCAAGCTACTAGCCTCTCACGGTTATGTGCGATGATGGGTCCATTTAGGAGAAGAGCAAGGTCGAAAGTACAAGGCTTACTGCCAGATACGTTACCTGATAGAAAGTCAGCGCTGGGGCTAGTGTGGCCACATTCACAAAAGCATTAGTGTGAACACTCAGAAAACGGAATCAGGCCTTCAAGCAAAAATAGTGCTGATGTAATCATAGGTTCGGGAGTTCTGCCCCTGACAGGAGTTGTTTGGATGAGCAGGAAAGCTGACCACTTAGAGCACTGCCCTTCAGAGGCCTTTGGGAAAAGCCTTTGTTACATGAGGAGAAAGCAGGCGGTTTCTTATGTTGTTTAAAATCAAAAGTAAATACAAACAAAAATTCCCCAGCTTAGGAAGCTCTTTATTTCCTAGCATCCCTGGCTTGGTCTAAGTTTCACTTTATGTTTTGGCCCAGGTTTAAAAAGTAAAACCCCAGTTAGATTAAAATCTAAAGCCTCTGACAGCTTGCCTGATGGGATGTGGGTGGCAAAGCAGCTCCAGCACCACTGTGTCATGGCGCATTTTTCATGTTGTGGCGCCACCTTGTGCCTGATGCTGCATATTTCCTTCTAACGGGTGCGAACAAGCCATTTTGTAACCTCCAAATGCCACCTGCCCGGCCAGCCTTTGCTGTCATGACCAGGGTCATGACACTGAATGAAGACAGCAGACCCGGTAGGTTTTGTGTAGAAGTTTTGGCCAGCGATGTATGTGTACTGCCCCAAATCTCGTGTGTGCGTCCCCCTGTAAAGGCACCTGAGACTTCCCACCGGGGTTGGGGGTGGCCGTGGGGCAAACGGCCGGGCACACTCAGGACTTAGCCAAAGACGAGAGCCGTGTTCGGAGTCAGCAGGTCGTTTGTAGGTGTCGCCCCAGGGCCGTCCCCAGTGGAGCGGTGACAGCCTTTAAGTGAAGACTGGCACGGAGCCGGCCGCCAGGGTGTCGCCACTGCTTTCGAGACAGAGGCGGCCGCTCCTTCGACACCTGTGCTCCGCTGTCTTCTGCACATCGGTCCCCGTCGGGCAGGCACAGCTCAGCCATTGATCGAGAGCGACTCGGCCGTCTGCCCACGGAGCTGCGGAGCTCTGCGGAACGGGGGCTCTTAGGCCTTGGCACGCACTGGTCAGAGCCCTCCTAGTGCGGTAACAACGTAGGGGTTGCCAGTCCGTTTGTTAAAAGGGTGGGTTGACCTGGTGGGATAGTGTGACTAGTCACATTTTTTTGTGCTTCTATATGAGGACATACTCAGCATGTAATTCTCACTTTGTCCTGTTCCTTTTCATCTGTGACAGTTGAGGTCTAGAGTGCAGTCCTAATTGGTCTGTCTACACATTTCACATTCACTCTTGTTCTTGATTTTCTCAACAATAACGATGTCTTAAGACACGCTCCTTCCACAAGCCGCCGCATGGGCTTGGTAGAGGGGATTAAGCCTGGGGTGATGCCCCGAGACAGGCTCTGCGTTCAGAAGCACTTCCCGGTGCAGGTTGAGCCGGCAGTGAGGTGGAACCTGTTCCTACTTCCTTCACATGTAAGATTTAATTTTCGGTGTTCAGCATCATCTTCAAGTTAAGTGTCAAACGTTCAGAATACATAGTTACAGTAGTTGAAGAGGGGTTCTTAACTCATTAAATATGAGAGTGCATACATGTTGCCCAAATTGGTCACGTTCAGTCAGCAGCGTGAGGGGGGAAGTTGCCTGCTGTAGGCAGTTGCTGGTGTTGGGATGCAGGGTTGTTTAAAATAGGGAACGGGGCGGGGCGGGGGTTGGACCCCGCCTTGTTGACAGGCCGGGGAAGTATCGCAAAAGGTCAAGTGCACGGGGGCTTTGGTGTCTGTCCCGTTGCCCTTCCTGGTTAGGAAGTGCACGCTGTCAACACTGGTCAGGGGTGTTTGGTTTTCTGAAAATGTGACACATTAAGCAATTAGCAGACTCGTGACTGAAAACCCACTGTGCATTCTACTTATGAAAAAATTAATACCCCTTCAAAGTCCTCTCCACATGTTCGTGAAAATGGGAAGTCGTATTTCTGGTCTTCAGATGTGTGAATTTTGGAGCCCCACAGTCTGGATTCTGAATGAGGTCCTGCTCTGGGGGGCAGCCGGCCTGCAAGCACCTATCTCCTCATCAGGGAACGGGGAGAGTTGTGCCCAGTTCGTAGTCGTCATATGGAGTCCAGAGAACGATGTTGGTGGGACGCTGTGCCCAGTGCCAGGCCTCGCCTGAACGCTGAGCAGACGTCATCCTGACAGCACCGTGACAATGTTCTCATTTTCATTTAAAGGTGAATCGGGTCTGGGAAAATCAACTCTCATAAACAGCCTGTTCCTGACGGATCTCTACCCAGAAAGGATCATACCTGGAGCTGCAGGTACAAAAGTTCCCACACTCTTGTAAATGTAGTTTGGTGTGGAAGTTGCCTAAGAGTGCACAATTAACGTTTGACGGCTGAGCCTTGAGTTTTTGCTTCTGTTCACCTTTAAACACAAGAGCGATGTCGTGGAGGTCAGGAAAGGCGTGCTGTGCCTGATGTCATTGGATTTGGTTGTGGACTGACAGCGTAGCCGTGGATCCATCCTCTCCAAGTTTTTTTGTCTGAAGTGTCATAAATAGTTTCTGCCTGTGTTCTCTGTTAGCTCTTGTGGAGAAAGCTGTGTAACACGATCGCTGTGGGGGTGGGAAGTTGGACTCTGAGGGTCCAGTGCAGGCCACGAGCGTCGTGATTGCCAGCGGAGTGCCTGGGTCAGTACGCACAGAGAGCCGGGCACGGGGGCCGCTGCAGCGGGGACGCCCAGCTCTTCCACGGGCATTTTTGAATTCAATTTTTAAGTGAATTCATAAGTTGTTTTCTTTATCCCGGAAAAAGAAATTACAATTTTCAGTATTAGCGTTTTTACCTTCGTAGGCAGCCGTTCAATCTTAGCTCCAGTGTTTCCCTATGGACTTGGGTCAGTTTTACACAGTCCTCACACAGCCTTCTGAAAACCTTCCTCAAAGAGGTAGTAACTTCCAAGTCATTTGCTTGACAATAACAAAGTTACTAAACAGGTAATGCCTGGTCTTTGCACACTGGCTCCGTATTAAAGCACGTGCCCTGGCTGGTGTGGCTCAGTGGATTGAGCGCCAGCCTGTGAGCCAGAGTCGCTGGTTCGATTCCCTGTGAGGGCACAGGCCTGGGTTGAGGGCCAGGTCCTCAGCAGGGGGTGCGCGAGAGAGGGGGTGGATGTTTCTCTCCCTCTTTTTCTTTTTCTCTAAAACAAATAGTAAATAAAATCTTAAGAAGGCATATTTTCTTATTAAGTTTGTTTCTTTTGTAGAGAAAATTGAAAGAACAGTCCAGATTGAAGCTTCAACTGTTGAGATTGAAGAGCGAGGGGTCAAGCTGCGCCTGACAGTGGTGGACACACCTGGCTACGGTGACGCCATCAACTGCAGGGACTGGTGCGCCCCCCCGGGGAGGGGCGCTGGGGGTGCTGTGGGCACGCACGGGGTCACACCGCTCTGGTGCATCCATGTGCGTGCGGTGATGAGTGACTGTTAGGTGGACAGGGTGAGGTGGTGAGACCACTGGAGGCACGTTAGTGACGGTATTTTACGTAAGGAATCTAGCAGAGAATGAGCGTGGTTTGTTCTTCCAAGCATACTCCAGCGAGGTCTGAGGTCACAGGGTCAGCCCTCATTCTGGTTTGAGCCATGGCCAGTGGATACAATTTCAGGGTCCAACATCCCCTCTGTCCACATGCAAGAACATGAAATGTCTCGGTCACTCGGGACTCAGGGCCCAAGGGTGGCTGCTTGCACAGAAGATGAAAGCACCTTCCCCAGACCCTGCCGAGAACCCCGTTGTGGGGGCAGGCGGGGGGACGCCTGGGCCTCCCTGTGGGCATAGCATCAGTGTCCCGCACTGGGTAGAAAGCAGGGAGCTGCCTCTCCATTGGGAACTGACGCTCCCGCAGGTCAGCCTTGGCGTTGCGTGGCCACGCTGCTTCCCAACCCCACCCCCACCCTGCTCTTCCCCGTGTTGCTGCTGCCGCCATTGCGCCCCTTTGCCCTGTTGCACCCCTGGAAAGTGTTGGCAGCCCAGGCTCTTTTGACCAATCTCTTCCCTTCCAACTTTTGATACCCGGCCCTTCGTGCTTGGCACTCTTTCCAGAGCCCCCCACCCCCGCCCTTGCCAAATGGAGGAGTCAGTTCCCATTCCCACTTACAGAGAGATGAAGTGGCAAATTGTGCTTGGTAGGTAGGGCGCAGGGACAGGAAAACCTGTTACCTCTGATGTGGGCCTGCCTGGCCGCCGGTGCGGACTGTGGCCCCATGTGTCTCTCAGCTTCAAGACCATCATCTCCTACATTGATGAGCAGTTCGAGCGGTACCTGCATGATGAGAGTGGCCTGAACCGCCGGCACATCGTGGACAACAGGGTGCACTGCTGCTTCTACTTCATCTCGCCTTTCGGGCACGGACTGAAGCCCTTGGACGTCGCGTTCATGAAGGCGATACACAACAAGGTCAATATTGTGCCTGTCATTGCCAAGGCCGACACGCTCACCCTGAAGGAACGAGAGCGCCTGAAGAAAAGGGTGAGGACGCGGGGCTCACGCTCGGGGAGGTGGGGTGTGGGGTTCTTAACCAGCACCCGACGCTGGCAGTTGTCTGGTGCTTTGCTTTCACAGAGGTCTCTAATCACCACCATTCCTTACAACTCACCTTAGGTGGACGCCCCCTCAGGGCCTAGAGGGTGGCTCATGGGCAGGCCTTGTCTTGCTCAGTAATTGGGGGGAGGGGCGGTCACCTCTGAGACAGCGCTCTGTTCTGCCTACGTTCCGCTCACACACCCACCCGCGAACGCGGGTGATCAGGACAGTCTGCTGCCAGGAGGCCTGCGGGGCCTGCGTTTGGCCATGGTCTCTGGATTCGATATGAGCTTTAAGTATCCACAGAAAACCACCACTGTTAACAGGTATTTGTCTTTCCAGGACGCGGTCTGTTTGTTTTTGTTTTCATGAAGTAGGATTACGTCACGCATATGTTTGCCACTAGATTTTTCAAGAATTCCCAGCGCAGCAGAAAACATGCCCTTCGACATGCAGTCTGTTTCTGGTCTGTCCTCCCGACCTGCCATCCCTGACTTTGAGGATTTTGCTTGCTTTGTATTCCGAGAGTTTAGAACAGGACCCAGCACGTGGCAGGGAGCGGTAGTCCCTGTCCGTCTTCTTGCAGTCGTGAAGTCAGACGAATTCTTGGAAAGGACATTGATGTGCATTTAAGTGCTTGAAAGGGGGCTGGATTTCCCTCAAACACGTCTGTAGGTGCCTCCCCAGAGCAGCGTGTGAACTGTTCTCCCCGGGACACTCCTGAGTCACCTGCTTTTGTCGCGTGTTCCCTTGCGGTGCTCAATGCCCTTGGCCTTCTTGCTGGTTTCACTTTCATCCCTGTCTTTCCCTTGACTGACAGAGACTCTCGTTTTCGGGCAGTGACTGTTATGTTGCAGTCTGACTCTTGTGTGTTCACGTTTTTCCTGGCTGTCTTTTCCATAGCAGAGTTCCTACGTCGTGTGTAGGCAGATTTCTTAGCTCTTTCTTTTACTGTCTTGGGACTGCCAGTCTTCTAGGGAGTATTCAGGCCCTGGGAGAGCCCCTGAAAGCATGGGCAGTGTTAAGCCCGACAGCCTGTGTCTTAGCAGTTCCCATTCGGGGGAGCGTCCCCTTCTGCCGGGTGTCGGGGAGCACACTGCATCCCGTGTCGCCCGTATCCGCAACCCTCCGGGCCGGAGGGCCCACTCTGCGTTGAACGGAACACGTCAGGCACTTAGCTCTTTCATCTTGGCCTTTTTAACCTTCCTCTCTATCTGATTTCCTCCCTGACCCGAAGGGGCTTCTCAGGCCTCTGCCACCCCCCTTTGTTGTGTGCCTGGTGTTCAGCCCACCCTCTCCTGAATCCCTTTAACGTGGGCCTGGCCTGTCCAGCCTCAGACTCCTGTCTTGGGTGTGACCAGTATCCCCATCATGAGCCCTGGGCTGCCTGGCGGCGGGGCGGGGGTGGGGGGGCACGCTTTGCTGTATGCTCCTGGGACTTGTCTTCCTGCCTCTTGCCACCCTCCTGCCTTCTTCATGCCCGAAGGTCAGCACTGCCTCATGGTACTCAATCATAACACATCCGGTGGCTTCTGAGAGTCTTAGTTCCCTCTCGTGGAAGCACGTAACCAGAAGCCCTCTTTCCCCTCCATTGAGCTCTTCTCCCCATTTCCTGAGTGCAGAGCCGGCTCCGCAACTCCTGTGGACTACGCTTTCTTACTCTCCTCTGGTTCGGAACAGCCTGCTTGTTACTGCGTCCCCCGCCTGCTCCCGCCCACAGCTTGGCGCTGCTTTCCAAGTCCCCCATAGGAGCGGCGGGGCCACGGGATGGACAGCCGGCAGGGAGGGTGCTGCTGCCCCAGCGTCTCCCCTGCAGCGGTCTCCCCTGCCATTGACGGAGGAGGAACTGGGAAAGCACGGGCAGGAGCCAGGGCTGCTTCTGTGTCGGCGCGGTGTGTGCGGTGGAAGGCCTTCGGTCAGAGCGGGATTTGAGGCGAGGTGTTACTTGCTGGCTTTGTGTATGTTCTCTTCCCTTGGGCTGTCGGCATCAGAAGTGTCCAAGCTGTAGAGAATTTTTACAACAGTTTACTTGAGTCAAACTGAGGACATTGCAAGGGTGCGAGATTGCAAATGCTCCAGGAAATAATGGCTTTGCAGCTGCTTTTATGTGCTCGGAATTAGGAGGGAACGTAGGGAAGATGACAGAGGGCAGAGAGAGCCAGCGACGGGCCTACAGGGTGCACTTGCGGAGGGTCTGCAAGGGGGCATTTCAGAGGTGTGTTGACCTAGAAACAATGGGCAGGGCTTGCTTAAGGCAAAGACAACCCTTTTACTAAGGAAGTTATGGGTCTGGGGTGGCACTGCCCAGCATGACCTGCTCATTTGGGAATTTATGACCAAATTGCCCTTGGAGGCCACTTTCCATACAACCCCTTTCCCGCCCTCAAGGCTCAGGTCCCTGGGTGAGTGGGCAGGACTCCGGCCTGCCCCGCCCCGGCCAGAGGCCCAGTGTGTAGACTGGCCGGCGGCTACTTACCGCCCAGTGGCTGCTCACCTCATCGTGCCCCTGGCTTCCTTCCCCTCTCAGTGGTCTTCGTGATGGACGTTGTAAAGGGTAATGTTTACTGGGAGCAGTTTTTGAGTATTGAATAAAAGTCTGGATCTTGGATCCCAGACCCAGCCTGGTATTCTGGGGGACGCGCTGCCTGGCAACTGTGGTGGGTCTCCCTCCTGTTCCATCTCCTACATTTCCACCATCCTAGATTTCTGCTGGTTCCCGAAGCAGACTTCCTGTGTCCTCCCCTTGTGGCTTTGACAGGTTTTCCCCAGGTGCCACTCCATCTCCTCGTGAGACTCCTGCGTGTTCTCCAGGGGTGCCTCTGGCCACACCTCTGGCTCTTCCCCGGTGGCAGCACCTGGCTGGGCCTCACCTGGGGCGCTTGTCACTGCAGCCACTCAGTGAGGCTGGGACAGGGGTGGTGGCAGTGCATTCTGTTACTGTGGACAGCGGTCCCTCCAGATGCGTAAGTGCCGTTTTGGGAGTTTGTGATCTTTGGAAACAACTGTTGTAATCCATTAGATGTTTTTGTTACTGAAGTTTGAGTAATTCTGATAAGATGAGTTAGGCTTGACCAAATTTGTATAGTTTGTTAAAGGTGCTCTTGATTTTGTCATTCAGATTCTGGATGAAATTGAAGAACACAGCATCAAAATCTATCACTTGCCTGATGCAGAGTCGGATGAAGATGAAGATTTTAAAGAGCAGACCCGGCTTCTCAAGGTGCAGCCCTGGGCGCGCATGGTGACCGGCTCTGTTGTCCGGGCGCCAGCGCGCGTGGCGGGCGGAGCTGGGACAGGGCCCCATCCTGGGGGCCTTGACTCAGGAACTGTCTGGTAGATTTGTGTGCAATAACATGCTTATTTTAAATATGTTGTGGCCATCACTCTAAGGCTTAGGAATCTTAACTGCAGATTTAATTGTTTTCGTGGAAGATACCGGCCACTTTCTAAAGTAAAGTGCGCACCATTAGCTTTCTAAGTAACGTAGCACCAAGTGTCCCTGTGTGTTAGTGGTGAACGTGGAGGCCCCCTGCGGAGCCTGTCGACCTGTGTTTCTTTCTAGGCCAGTATCCCCTTCTCTGTGGTTGGATCCAATCAGCTGATCGAAGCCAAAGGCAAGAAAGTCCGAGGCCGCCTCTATCCGTGGGGTGTCGTGGAGGTGGAGAACCCGGAGCACAACGACTTCTTGAAGCTGAGAACAATGCTCATGTAAGCCGCGCGGGGGGCCCCGCCTGCGGCCCGTGGCCCAGTGTGCTCTCCTTCCAGCTGGTCACTAGAAGGTCCCTGTTGAGGCTCAAAGTAGACGAGACTCGACTGTGCGGTGGCCGTGCCCAGCAGGGGTGGCCTCCTGCTCCAGGGTGGACACAGCCGGGTCTGCTGCAGGGCCTGCGGGCTGGAGGGCCCCCGAGTGAGTCCTTGCAACCAGGAGAGGCCAGGCTGCAAAAGCAGACTTGTTTCTTCTTGAAACCAGACTTCACGTTTAGCATGTGCAGTGCTGTTGCTCTGGAACAAAGAGGATAAAAGAGCACGTCGCCAGCCCTGATGCCTCTGCGTGGAAGAGGCCGGCCTGCATAGGCTCCGAATGAGTGGGGACGGCTCTTCACGCCACACGCGTCTCCCTGGGTTTAGCAATTTTAGTAAATTAAAACACTTAAAACAACATTAAGTTACCGTTCAAGCTCTGTTGTGAGTCAGTCACCGTGTAAGACGTTTAAAGTCCCCCTGGCCCCTTCCAGGAGGAGACTGGGGCTGTCTTGACTGTGTCACAGGGAGGGTGTGGCAGCTGAAGAGGCACTTTGGTGCCCATTGTGTGTTTCTGAGACCAAGGGAGAATAGGCCGTCCCTTCGCCACTGCTGAGTCTGCTCCCTGGGTCCTGAGTGCAGGAATGTGGCCTCTGCCCGTCCTGGGGTGCTCACATGCTGGGGGAAGCTTGCCCAGAGACCCACGAATGTTTCACAGCGCAATTAGGAGATTTGAGCGCTATTTCTGGTTCGTCCCGAATGTCAGTACTTCGGTTTGTGCTGTTCTCTGTATCTTAAGCTAATTAATTCCCCCTGTTAGAAATTTTAAGCTCAAGAAGTCATGAACTTGTTTCCCTGAAGAATCTCCTAAAGCCTCTGAGCATACGGCCCTGTGCGGGGCAGCGGTTCCATGTGGAGCTTGGCCGTGCCTGTGGCGGAGGCCCACGGAAGGGCACCTCCCAGGCCGGCGGGGAGGGCGGGGTTTGAGGTGGGGTTTGCTCCGGTGGCGGCGGCGCCTGCGTGGGCCCAGCCCAGCGTGCTCTTCTCTCTTGCAGCACTCACATGCAGGACCTCCAGGAGGTGACCCAGGACCTCCACTACGAGAACTTCCGCTCTGAGAGACTCAAGAGAGGCGGCAGGTCATGCTCGAGTCCCGCTGTCCCTCCCTGTCTGTGTTGTGTCACCCCCAACTTACGCTGCGCCCCTCCTGTGTGTGTTTCGTCAGCCTCCTTGACCTCAAAACAACATGATCTGGTTTCCTACTCAAGAGCTATTATAAGCTGCTCGTTGCTAATTTAATCAAACTCTGTGCTCTTTTTCGCCTGTTGAAGGCAGCTTGAACCATCTGCATGGACAGAACAGCTTTAGATGGAGAAGCCGCAGGCTTGTGTTGGGTGCTCTCTCAAAAGTGTCGGTCTGTCGGGAAACGAGGACAGATCCACCTGCCATTAAGAAAGCGTGGCTCCCCAGTCAGCTCCCCAGAAGCGCCTGCCGCTGCCATGCTCTGTTGTTCCATTTTACCACCCTCGGGGGTTTTTACTGAGGACCTAATTCGTAGCCGATAGACTCATATCTACATGTAGAGCTTAATTAACACATCATTTATGTAAGGGACGTACATCATTCATAAAAAATTTTGTGTGTTGCAGTTAACCAAAATATTCACATTTTTAGAACCTGGTGGATGAGTGCACGCATACGACGTGCACGTTAAAGTCTGTTTTCCTGTCCCATTAATGTGGGGGCCACACGCTAGGACTGGCTATAGAGGGAGGCAGCAAGGAGGTCCCACTGAGAAGCAGCTGGCCAGGTGGCAGCCCTCCGCCAGGCAGGGCACATGAGAGGCGGCGTCCTCGCGGGCTGGGCTCTGGCCGGGCGCCTCTGCTGGGGTGGCAGAACCCGCCGCCTGCGTTCAGAAAGAGCAGGGGGGAGGGAGCGCCTGGGGGAGCAGCTGAGGACTGGGTGCCGCCACGGCAGCGGGGAGATTCTCTGGATTTTTCCATTTCATGTTGCTTTTTTTAACATTGTTTATTCATATCATTAATCAGAAAAATGATAAGTATATGTAATTTGAAGTAGTGTATCTCTGAGAGTTGTATACTCTCAGAAACGCAAGGTGAAATGTTACTTCAGTTATCTGTCCTTAGAAATAACCAAGTTATATTTGTTGCAGTATTATCATTGTGATTTCTTTCAACTCTTAGGAAAGTAGAAAATGAGGACATGAATAAAGACCAGATCTTGCTAGAAAAGGAAGCTGAGGTAAGTAGAAAAGTACTACTTTTAAAGTCTAGTTTATATCCAATGATACTGTTACAACATTAGCTTATTACAGTTTTCCTTCCTTATTTTTGAGAACGAATATATTTCATATAACTAATATATTTTGTATGTACATGTACATGGAATAATGTCCTTTACATGTATTACCTCATTTAAGCTCCATTAGCAACTTAGTGAAGGAACTTGAAAATAGTTTAGTAACATGACCGATTTTATATATTCGTAAATAAGCTTTCCTATACCTATGTAAATTACCTACATATAGATAACCAGTTAGGAAATCACTGCCAATCACAACCATTAACAAAAATTTGTGGAGAGATACGTAGGACTTTCTTGGGGAAAGAAACTGGAAAACTGGCAATTGTCAAAATTTTAATAGACACAACTTCTGGTTAATCGCTTGTTTTCATGCAATCCCAGCAGAGTTGTGTTCGCCTGCCCGGTTTTTACTTTGAGGGAAGAGGTTGAAAATTGTAATGTTTGTTTTGAAGAAGCAGCAGAGGAAACACAGGAACCTTTAGGAAATGGACTAATGAGAAGAGGCTCGTGTTACTGTTACGGAGCCGGCGGAGACCGGTGGTCACGCAGAGCCTTTGGTCTGGGGCTGGGAGGCTGGCTGAGTCCATGTCTGGAACTTGGTGGGAGGGAGGGAAATGGGCTCTGGCAAGGCTGGCCTTGGGCTCTGTAGGGACACAGAATCCAGACACGCTCAGAAGATCATCCCAGAGCAGGCCAGCCTTTGGAAAACTAAAATAAGATTCACTGCTTTGGCAAAATGAATTTGATATGGAGCAAATGTTTAAATGTTGAAAATAACCACCGAGTTACCTGAAGAAAATTTAGGGAAATATTTTATAATCCTTGCAAGCCTTGAGGCCTCTTAAACTGGTCGACAGCTCGGCGGTAAGATGGAGAGGGCCCGCAGAGGGTGCGTGTTCTACAGGGGAGTGGCCGTGGCGGCTGGGGCTCTGGGCAGCCACAACCTCCTTCCCACCTTCAGGTTGGGAAAGTCTCCCACGTCCTGTGTTTCTCTTCTGCTCAGTAATTATTAATTATTTCTCTTCAGTACTGGATTACACCTTCTTACCATTTGCTCACTCTCTGTTGAGCGGTTGCTCATTTTCCTGGTTTGGAAGTTATTTGTTAACTCTCTGCCCTGTGGTGGGAAAGCACAGCGGTTGAAACGTTAGGCCTCGCAGGGCACTCCCGCAGAGTAAGGGACAGCAGACCCGCACCCGTGATGCGCCCCCTCTTGTTCCCGCAGCTCCGCCGCATGCAGGAGATGATCGCCAGGATGCAGGCGCAGATGCAGCTGCAGATGCAGGGCGGCGACGGCGACGGCGCGGCTCACGGGCACCACGTGTGAGGTAGGGGGCCGGACAGCCTTGTCCCTGGCTCCGCCAGTTACCGGACACGAGGGCGGGCACTGCCGCCACAGTCTTGCTGCCACTTGGCATTTAGAAACTGTCTTTCTGTCGCTGACCTTCGAGGAGAAAGGGTTGCTTCTAAAAAAGGGAAGCTTCTCCTCTGCTCCTGCCTGGGAAAGAATTTCCCTATTTTCTAAGCTTGTAAATGTGTTCAACGTTAGAAGAAAAACTATGTTGAAATAACTTTTATTAGTTATACAGTTAGGCCTTTATTAAAGCTGAAAACATCTCTTCAAAGAGAATTTTAAAAGCATTAAACAGCTCACACAGACCAAAAGCAAAGCTGGCTAGACGGGTGAATTGAGCCAGGAGTCCGGGGTCGCCCTGACGGAGGCACAGCCTCCCGCCCCTCACTGCAGCTCCGCGCCAGTGTGTGGCCGCCCTGCCTGAAAGGGAGTCTACAGACCAGGGACTCCAGCCCGTGTCCTGGGCGCAGGTGGGCATTCAGAGCTGTCCCGTAGCTGCTGTCATCTCCTCTGAGAGGAAGAGGGAGGGAGTACCTGCCCTCAGAAGAGCAGTGACTGCGGACAGACTGCGAGCCTGCTTGGGTCCAAGAGGAGGAGCGGGGCGAGGCTATGCTGCATGTTGCAAAGACAGGAGAGTGTCACTGAAAGCAACAGGAGTGGCACAGGGCAGCGTCGATGAGCTAGAAGGCGAGGCGCCCAGGGTTCACCTGTCAGAAGCCCTCCATGACAGATGGGCAGGCGATGAAGGAAGGACCTGGAGGAGCTCGCCAGGGACAGCGGTCACCAAACAAAGCCCGTGCTCTTGTGTGGTATATTGGGAAAGGTTCTCGTTAGGGAATAGCAGGCACCAGAAGATAAAGCACGTTTTCCCAGTGTAAGCAGTTAGTGTCCTGGGACCGTCCGTGTAACCCGTTCTGGGTCCGAGTTGGTCAAAACTTTGGCCCAGTCCCAGGGCACAAGCTGAGTTCACACTTCACCCGTAAGGACATGTGTGCTGTGCGAGCATTTGAAATTATTTGGCTGCGGTCAGGGAACTAGTGCCTCCAGGGGCTGAATCTGCACCCGCAGGTTTGGCGCCCACTGGGCTCAGGCAGGTGAAGGGGAGAGAAGCAAGGGCTCTGGGGGCTCCATCGAGGTGGGCGGGGTCAGCCAGCGTTCCCTGGTGTCCTCTGGCCTTGCTGCTGCCCTGCTTTTTAAAACACTTACCTGTAGAATTAGGGAAATTCTACTTGAAGTACATAAAATTGATTTGTGTTTTTGTGTGTTTTTCAGTTTTGCAGTCCTCCTAGTTTCCCAGACCCTCCTAAGTGACGATTTGATTTTATTAAGAGGAGGCCCACCAACTTCTCAATTGTGCTCTTTGTTATGCAGAAAAATAATGCTGTTAATAGTCCAAGCAGCAAGCATTACCACCCTCCCATTTAAATGGGTTCTGTTTGTTTTTTTTCCAGAAAACACTGCAAGATGAACACTCCGGCTGAGCAATCCAGCTCTGTGTTTTCAAGAAATCGTTGGAGATGCCTGTGGCTCGAAAATTTAATTTTTAAAACTTTTGATGTGTTCTTTTGTATGAAGTATTTCTAACATTTGTATTCATTGCTAGAGGGTAGACTTTATATTTTGAGAGCGAACTTTGCATTTTCATTTCTTTACCTTATGTAACCACTAACATTAGTTAGAATTGATTTCCAGGGATCAGGCAGCATGTTAACATGACTTCGCTGGCCTAACCCTCTAGTCCAGGAGGAGCACTCTTGGTTTGTTTCCAGAATATTCATACTTACCCAGATGTTCCTGAGTGGTATAGAGACGCGGACCTAGTGACACAGAGGGTACATTTGCTCACCCCAGGGCTCATGCGGAGACGCTTCCCCTGCCTCCCTGCCCCGCTTCTGCGTGAGCCCAGCACCTGAGACCAGTTTTGCTGCTATAAATCAATACCTTTCATTCATCTGCACAAGTATCTTTTTAGCAAATGAAACAGTAGAATTACCTAATGAGACACATGTTTATACTTAAGAAATCTTTTAAAAACAGGCCTTTAGGGGTAAATTTTAGAAGTCTCTGGACTCTTACACTAGGATATTTTTAAACCACTCTGCAGAGAACTTGCCACAGCCACTTTTTGTGGCGTTTTCCACTAATACTGGACTTGTGGGAAAAGGATACCCAAGAGCATCAGTTTTCATAGTGCAACTATGATTCTTACCAACACAGAGTCAATGAACTATTTTTGCTCAAATTAAGTAACTTTTAAAGGAAAATTCGCAGTTGATCTGTTCAGAAACTAACCTTTGTGTATTTTTACTGCACTTTAATATATTTTTATAACTGCAGGAGTTGAAGATCTGCCTCAGCAGTAGCAGTCGGGGTCCTTGGGTGGGTGCGTGCTGAACCCAAACCTGTCCCAGGCCCTGAGGTTTCAGCCCAGGGAAGCCCAAAGTGCCAATCAGGTTTTTCCAAGGTGGCTTTCCTTTAACTGGTTCTTTTTTTATGGATGGTTTTCGGAAGGGAGGCAAATCGCACTGCTCATTTCTTTTTTAACGTGTGGACTGTCTCACAGGTTTTTAGCCACCCCGGTCCCTTCACTATGCGTGATACCGGTTTCTCCGCGCACTCTGTGAGAACAAAAGGCATTTTAGACCTGCAGTGTGGCCTGGCTGCAGGTGCCGCCAGTCAGAGCCACCCCTGGTGGGTTGTCTGCGCTGCGTGGCCTCGGCCCTCCCCTCCCCTGGCATGTCTTCGTCCTTCCCTCTGTCTGTCCTCCACTCTGTCCCACCCTCCAAGGGTGCTGATGCTCCAGGGCCTGCCTTCATTTTTCTGCTGAAGTTGAGAGAGAGAGGGAGGAAAGGGCACCTGGAGGATGCAAGGGCTGGGCCGCTGTTTTCATGTCACCGTGACAGGTGGGAACGCAGGGAATGCAGGGCGTGCTTCGTCTGAGGGTGGAGGAGCATTTTTTGTTGTGGCCAAAAAAATGCTGTCAAAATATGTTAGTTACAGAAGTGCTTGTTCACGTGGCTCCTTCCCTGCCAAGCAATTGCTAACGGTCAAAAGCTTTAGGTTTAAGGCACATTGTGCAGTTTTTACCAAGAAAAAGTGTGCCATGACTGAGAGCACCTCCTAGGCCAAATGTTTGGGCTATTTTGGCGTTCATTAACGGTGCTAATAAAAGGGGGGGGACATTTGCAAGTGGTCTGCGTGAACTGTGTGTGTGAGCGAGCCCGCCTCTAAAGGTCAGGTGCACCTCAAGATGGTTTTGCTGTGTGGGTGGACCTACACCTTCACATCCTTTCTCTTTTGTTGCCCAAACTGAAGTAAATACATTTGCTAATAGATAATTGTTCTTTTACTAAGAGATATTCTTTACCTATAGAAATGTATTTTGAAAACTTACTTTACACAGCCATTTTTTATCCATTGAAACTAACCTTTCATCAATAAAGCACTATTGTCGAGAGGTCGAGTAGTTCTCGTTGTTGGTTCTTTCCCCGCGTTAGGTATAAAGTCTTCTGGGGAAAGTTCAAAAACCTTCAGACACCTTTGTACAAAGTCAGGGAAGTTACTTGCACCAGTAGCATCAGCACCCAATAACTTTGTATTGGCGATCCCAAAGGAAAGAACCATAAGGAATTATTTACAGGTGATCTGATCACCCACTTAAAGTGAAAGAATGATAAAAATTAGCACTAGTAATAGTTCAATGACAGCTGCTTACAAATTGAAAACTGTAAGGGGGAAAAAGATCTCATTAGCTGTGGTGGCTACTAAAGATATGGAAATACTGTGTGACTGAAATAGAAAAAAATAATTTATATTCTAAATGTCACTGAAATTGGTAAGGGGTTTTATTAGACATTTTAAAAACCTGGACCTGTAAGGCTGATGGCGGGGCGGGGGGGGGGGGGGGGGCGCTGAGTGGCATCCTCCGTCCACTGCCCAAGCAGGGCAGTCTGGGCCACCCTTCCCACCCCCCCCCACCCCACCCCCCGGGTAGTAAAGCTCCCGCCCGCCTTCGTTCCTCCTCTGGGCCCCCTGCCTCGCTCCCGCCCTCCAGGCCCAGCGTTCCCGCACCATCTGCCGAGGATTTGCTGCTCTGCTAGGCTCTGCAGGTCGCAATCCCCACTGGCCCTGTGTGCCACCCTGGAAGCAGAGAGGGCAGCCGCTGGGTTGCCGCGTCGTCAGGGCTGGTGGCCCTGTCGCTGGGGACTGGTAGGAGAATCCTGGGGGATTGCGGGCTTGGGGGTCAGAGGAGAGTGGGGTCTCCGCCGAGCCTGGGAACTGAGGGCACCCTGCTGGGAGCGGCACTGCCGCACCTCTGGGCTTTGGGGAAGCGGGACGAGGGTGGCTCAGGAGTCGGGAGCACTGTAGAAGTCCCGTCAAGGAAGAGCCCCGTGGGTCGTGGGTCGAGAGCCTTGCCCGAACAACCGCCGGTGTCAGGAGCTCTGCACCTCGAGGGCACTTTGGGTGGAGCTTTGGAGGGAGCGTATTTCCCCGAGACCCCGGAAGGAGAATTGGCGAGTGCTCCCGAGAGCCGGGAGGGGGCGGTGTTGTCACATTTCCTATCCCGAGTGGGGGTCGCGAATCTTAAAAACCTAAAGGGCAGTGGGCTTCCTCCAAGAGCGACTCGTCTCCGCCACAGCACACCCTCGCGTGGCCCCTTTTGCTCTAACGCTGCGATCGCAGCCGCGGGACTAGTGGGCGGGGCTCAGAAGGCTGGAGAGCGAGGTTGGGGCGAAGAAGCAGGGATGTGGGGAACCGCGACACGCCCCCAGAGACGAGGCCCCGCCCAGGGCCTAGCCCAGGCCCCACCCAGGACAGAGTCCCGCCCCGGAGCGCGCCCCGCCCAGCGAGCCGAGTCTCTGCCGATTTGCATTCGACTTCGCGGATCCCCTCCCAGCCCGTTCACCAATCAGAATTCAGTGCCGCTCTTTCAGACAAGCCAATCGGCGGCGCGTCCGCGGGGGCGGGGGCGGGGCCCCGAGCGGGGGCGGGGGCGCGGCGCGGCCCGCGGGCAGTCGGGAGCGGGCGGAGCCGGCGCTGGACCGGGAGGCCGCTGCGGCGACGGCGCGGGTGGCCGGCCGGCGGGTGAGGACCTGGGGCCGCAAGGCCGCGGCGGTGGGCGGTGGAGGCCGAGGGCATGCCATGGCGGGCGTGGGGCTCCCGGCGGCCCGGGACGCCTCAGACGGCGGCTCACCCGAGGAGCCCACGCCCGCGCTCGCTAGGCCTTCCCGGACGGCGGGCCCGTGTGAGGAGGGTCGAGTGTGGGCAGCGCGCTGCCTGAGGCCCGGGGTGCCCCGGGAGGGTCCCGCGTGCGGCCCAGGGCTGGGCGGGGCGGGAGTGCCCCGCGTGAAGGCTCCGGGACGGGCGTGGCATGAAGCGCCGGGCGTGGAGGCCCAGGTGTGCGCGGCGCGCGGAGGCCTGCGCCCAGCCACAGGTGGCAGCTCCCGCTGGCGTGGACCCCGCCCTTCGTGGCCTGCCCCTAAGTTGTGTCTTCAAGGAGGGAAGCCGGTGTTCGGTATAGAACTTCTTACTCCACAGTGGGGAGCCTTCCAGAGGAAAAATACGGGGAGCGGGGCCGGGCGGCGGTCCAGCGCAGAGCCCTGGCCGTTTACCCGGTGCCGGTCCGCGGTGGCCAGAGGGGCACGTGAGAGCCAGGCGCGCGGACGGAGCGCTGTCAGCGCGCAGCGGGGAGAAGGGGCGGCAGGACTGCCGAGCGGGGCTTTTCTTTCCGTGCCAGTTTGAGTTCCGGCTGCAGCGCCAGCTGGGCCACGGGGGACACCTCGACGACCCTCGGGGGCCCTGGGCACAGACTCCCCCGGTGCCAGCGAGAGGGGAGAAGCCCTTCGAGGTAGCAGCACGGGGGGCCTTTGTTTGTAGGCCATATATCACTCTACTTTTCTGTGGCTGCGGTCGAAAAGGTTTCCTGAGTTCCTGCGCCCCAAGAGCCATAGTTCAGTGTTGAGTTGTCAAGCGCTTCGCGCATGTCGTTTTGCAAGGTTTTGTCAAAGCCTGCAGAGGAGCCGTGGCCAGGTTGCAGGGCCCATTGGACAGCAGAGACCATGGGCTCGGTCCCGGGGCAGCGCCGCGCAGCCGCCTGAGCGGCCCAGGGTTGCCACGCGCCAGCTCCCTCCTAGCAGCGCCTCCCCGAGGAGCCGAGCGTGTGCTGGCCACGGATCTCTGCCTCGGGTTCCTTGTGGACCAGGCGGGGTCGGAGGCGACCTCACCGCACTGTTGTGAGGACGAATGCCCGTAGCTGAGCCGCGAGCGAGATGGCTGGCCCACGGTCAGAGCGTGGTGCGCGTTCGCCGTTCGGTCCTCGGGCGGAAGCCTAGTCCCGGCAGGCGGGAGGCGGCCGCGGGCGAGAGTCGCAGCCCCCCAGCGTGGACGGAAGGATGGGCGCCGGGCTGGCGAAGCCAAGGGCGGTGCGGGAAGGATTCTCTGCCGGCTCTGCAGACCCGCGGAGCCGCGCGCCATTCTGTCCTCGCGCCTCTCCACACGCTCCTGCCGTGGCCACCCCAGCACCTCTCTCCTCAGACAGCAGCAGGGTTTTCTTACTGCTGCTTCCCCCTTCAGGTTTGTTTGCATTTTTCCTTCACCCACTTTCTTACCAGCTTGCCAATGGGTCCTGAGCTTCCTGCCCACGGCGCAGTGTCCAGTGTCGGCAGGCAGGAAAACCGCAGCCACTCCAGGTCTTGCCTTGGGCAACGGACTCAAAAAGGCGGGGGTTCCACACAACTTAATATGAAAAAGCCCAGTGTTCAGTGGTTTCTGGGGAATAGTTACATAGGTGGTGATTCTGTAAATTGATCTTATCTTTTTGAAGAGCAACTCACCATATGTGATTTAAAAACAAACCAACCAACCTTTTATTTTGGAATCCCAGTTGTTTTTTAAAGACTTTATTTATTTTTTTAGAGGGAGAGAAAAAGAAGCATTGATTAGTTGCTTCTTGCAAGCCCCGAACTGGGGTCCTGACCCCCCACCCAGGGATATGCCCTGACTGGGAACCGGGCCTGCAACCTTTTGGTTCGCAAGCCAGTGCTCAACCCACAGAGCCACACCTGCAGGGCTGTAATTCCAGTGTTTAAAACGAAAGGAACTCCTATATGCAAACCCTGTGTGTCGGTGTGGTGCAGCACTCCTCAGCCGGTGAGCGTGTTCTGGAAATCCCGTCCTGTCCTTCCCTCCCACAAAATTTGAACCAGTTTGATCCATGGAAATGTGTTCAAAAACATGGCTTAACCAAAGAGGCAAAACAGCATACCCAACAATTACACTGTTGTAAAAATATGTGACGTGGACAAGGATCAGGAGGGAAGTTAGAATGGTGGGAGCGGTTTTATTTAGAGACATAGGATTGGTTTCCCCTAAACTGGAGTTTGGTTTATATAAAGTTCAAATGCAAAGAGGCACTACAGTGTTGTAGGAGGCCGTGGTGACTCTCTTCAGGCCTTCTCTCCCCAGCTCATCATCCTTGTGGCTTCCCAGCTGTGGACTGGAAGGAGGCGTGAGATCGCATCCAGACCTCTTGGGCTGGACCGTGACGCCCAGCCGCCCACGGGCATCCTCAGGGCCCCAGCTACACGCAGTCTTTCTTTCTTGCCCAGCAGTCCCGTGCCTGTGCACACGCTGCTCTTTGTCCAGTTCGTCCCCTGTCTGCTGCCAGGCCCAGCTCTGGCTTCAAGCCCGGGGAGCCTCCCTGCTCCCAGGCTAGCAGTGCCCCTTCCTCAATGTCACCTCGTACTTTCTGCTCTCAGGGTCTGCAGTGGGGAGGTGGTCCTGGCCACCTGCGTAGTTGTCTCCCCTTCTAGATCTTTGTGTGCCTGTGCTTGGCATCCAGATATATAGTGCTTCTTTGCATTTGAATTTTATATAAACCAAACTCCAGTTTAGGGGTAACCAATCCTATGACTCTAAATAAAACCGTTTCCATCATTTTAACTTCCCTCCTGATCCTCCTGCCTTCAAATAAAGAGCAGACAGCGCACCATGGAATCAGGGTGGGGTTGAGACCACTTACAGAGCTGGTCACAAAAATAGTACCAAACATCTAAATAAAGACCGAAAACACTTCTAATATTAGACATTGAAATAAATGCGAGCTACACATATGTTTGAGAAAGAGTAATACTAAAAACGAGTAGGATAATGATTTTCTAATACACTGATTACAGTTCAGGGTCATGGGGGGCTGAAGCCTCCCCCGGCAGCTCAGGGCGCAAGGTGGGAACCACCCGGGGCAGAACACCTTCCATAACAGGGCCCCACATCCTTGGGATCCAGGAGGAAGCCAGAGTCCCCAGAGGAAACTTCCGCAGGCACAGAGGCCGGGCACTCCCGACGCGGACAGTGGCCCTGGCCGGGACTGATGTTTTTTCTTCAACGTTACAATGAAATGACATTGAACAAAACGTCATCATTGGAGGACATGCTGTATGTTTTCTGGTCCTCCTAAAAGAAGCAACCAAAAATATTTCGCAGAAGGTGGATTTTCTTGCACAACGGAAGTTTCAGCAGCTCCCTTCGTGCGGATGACGGGCTGCTTCTGTCTGGGGAGCAGTGTGCTGGTTTTCCAGCAGAGCCAGAGAGGCTCCGTGTCCAAGTCGGGCTGGGCGTGCGTCCTGACTCCGTCACGTCTGAATTATGTGTTCTGTGGCAGACAGTTTCGTTTTTAATCAACTTCATTTTCTAGAGCAGTTCTTAGCTCGCAGCAAGACTGAGTGATGTTGCAGAGATTTCCCGTAGGGCCTCGTCCCCACCCTGGCACAGCCTCCCTCACTGCAGCATCCCCCCCTGAGGCCGCATTTGTTACAAACCTGCATTGACAATTCATCACTCAAAGCCTTGGCCGACTTTTGAGCCAAATTTTTCCTGCTTCAAGATGAAAATATGTCTCGAGGTGGTTTTTTAAATTTTTATTAAATAAGAATGGACGCATAGGAAACGGGTTTGTTAGTACCAAATGTCAGTGGTGGAAATTGTATCCAGCTGCCAAAAATATTTTTAGGAATGAAGACCACAGAGCAGTTCAGTCACTTGGAAGAAAGATGGGAAAATGAACCGGGGCTGCAGAGCACCTGCCATGTCTGGTGGCGGCCTTGCTGCCTTTCCAGTCTAGTTTGCATGCTCTTGCCTTTGTAATACCTGTTCATAAGCACACAAAACGAAACAAAGTAGCTTCTGTTAAGTCATAGTTTGTATAAACAGTTCAGTGCATACCTTGTTCCCACTGTCAGGCTGTAGAAAGCGGCTGTTGAACAAGCAACCTCACGTTTCTACAGGAAGTGCCCAGCTGTGCTGCTTGTTCTAAAGCAGATGGATAGACTTGCAGAGTAAGCGTTGCTGACATTCACAGCACTGGGTTACGTATCATTTTTCTAGTAAAGTCCCTACTTTCCCAGCTTTCTTAAACTTAAAAATGAGTAATGGATAGTTTATGCCACATCCCTGTGGTGCTATAGCAAACAGATTTTTCTTTGGAACCTCACAACAGGGTCCTTCACAGGGTCACTAACGCTTAAGTGACTGTGCCGTCCTCAGAGAACCCTCCAGAATGAGCGTCTCGTGCCTGAGTCTCAGCGCCAGCCATGCAGATGTTGACGGTGGATGAGAATAACAAGGATGTAAGGGTGCTGCTCGGAAGGGTTTCCTCCAGGCAGCCGCGCTCCATTAGGGTTTTGTGAACTAAGGACAGTCTTTCTCATTTGTCTAATATGTCTCTCGTTCTTCTGACAGATGAAACAATATTAAATTAAAAGTACGCTCTTCCAAGTATATGTTTATTATTAAGTAAACACAGATACAGAAAAATGACATGAATCAAATGTATGGCTTAATGAATTACAAAGTGAACGCTGTCCCAGTCAACCCGGAGAACCGAGACCCCTTTCCTGCACCCTCGCCCAGGGACAGGCCCCTCCCCGCACAGGGACCTCAGCCCTGCTCTTCTCGGAGTCGCCCCGCATGCGTTCTCCGAGTTCTCGCACCCAGATGTTGCGCTCTGCACACGGTAGTCTGGTCTTGCCATTGTCTTGGACATGTGTGTTTAGGCATGACTTTCTTATAACGAGTAGGAGAGAGAGGACCTCAAAATTTTTTCCCATCTAAAGTTACAAAAAACAAATATAAATGAGAATGATACAGTAAAATAAATAAGGAAAGTGACTTCTGAAAATAGATTTTGGTTGTGTTTTCCCAATTATATGTTTTCATAATTATAGCTTCACGTAGGAAGGACAGCTTTGGTGTCCGGAGGAACACCCCCCGCCCCCAGCTTGTTGCAGAAGAACCTGCTCGTGGTGCCTCGGTGTTCGGCACGTGTTTGGAGCCGACCAAGGACTGACTCTGTTCCACACCGGAGACGCCTTCAGGGCGCGGCCCGTGTGGACATCCCCTCATGTCTGCACTAACAGCTTGAGTTTCTGAACCACGGAAACGAAAATCGAAATGAAAAGGCCCCTGTTATGGTTCTCAGAACCTGTACATCTCAGGTTTACTGGTAGTGGCATGAAAACAGTGACTCTCTTGAGCGCTTTGCTGTGTCTGACCAAGTCCCATGGCATCTAGTGTCTGTGCAGTGGTCGCCCAGTGAAGCCATCGGGTTCTTTGATGCCAGTAACGTTAAGCAAATACTTAGCAAACATTCACAGTAAGAACTTAGTTCCTGCTCTCAGGGCATGCAGCCTGGAGAGAGCTGAAGATGATAGGGAACGGCTTACCCGACCCAAACATGGGGCCCAGGTAACCAATGTGCCTGTGCACGAGGGGAGGAAGTCCGGTCGATGTGTGGGAATCAGGGCGGGAGGCGCGCTAGGCAGCACGACATGCGCTCCGTTGGGTGCCTGCGCCGTTCTCAGCCCACAGTCCCCGGGCTTTCCCTTCCTTGCTTTGCGCCTTTGCACCTGCAGTCTGGTAAGTCAGGCCTGCCTGTGGGAGTTCTCACCCAGGGGGCGGGCAGGTCATCTGCGCTGGGTGGGGCTTAAGTGGACAGGGGACTGCCTGGCAACTGGTTCCTGAGGACCAGCTTAATTCAAGACATAAAAGGCTCGTGAGTTTGTCTTGAAAAAGAGGAAAGGTCTGGAGGACTCAGTAATGCGGTTGGCATGCAAGGGACCGGCCGAGAATCCAGCAAGGTCGAGTCTCTGGAACACTCGCTGCCGACGCGCGGAAGACTTTCTGAAGGCGACTGAGTGAAACAACCCTTCTGGCAGTGGCCGCATTCTTTCTTGACTGGACATCTGGCACTTGCTTTTGCTCTACTATTTTTTACTGTTGAATATGCTGCTTTAAGTTGACTTTCAAACACAAATGCATATATTTAAGAAGGAAATTTGCCGTAAGTAGAAAGTAACTATATAAATAAATACAATTCAGAGCAAGCCAATCTTGTTAAATTCTAGCTGATACTGGGTTGGCCAAAAAGTCCATTTAGTTTTTTTCTGTAAATGACATATTTTTCATTATCACCAGTAACTTTATTGATTTGGATACTTTGAGTAGGTCAGCTATCTCCCGTGTAGTACAACATTGATTGTTCTCAATCAGTGTCTCGATTTCACTACTATCGACCTCAACTGGTCTACGCGACCGTGGAGCATCGTCCAGCAAGGAATCTCCAGCACAAAACTTCACAAACCTCTTCTGACACATTCGATCAGTCACAGCACTTTCTCCATACACTGCACGCGTCTTTTTTCGTTTTCTTTTTTTTTTTTTTTTTTTTTTTGCATTTCAGTTCCATCTTTACCTTTCTTGAAATAATAAAGCATAATATGCCAAGAATGTTGCATATTTTCTTGCATGTCCAATATTAAAATAGCTACACAAAAATTCACCAGTTTTGATGTTTGGGGTTTTTTTAGTGCATGATAATAGGACAGATAATAGAACAGCTGTCACAATACAAGCTAACAAAATTGTTTCAAATGATGTTAAAGACAACTAAGAGCTACGAGATCCATCGTACGGAAAAAACCAAGTGAAGTTTTTGGCCAACCTAATTCTTAGCCTGTTCTTTCTTTGTTAAGGGACCATGAAGGGATTTGCCCTGTTCCACTTAGTAGCTTAAAAGCAGAGACCTTCCCTGGGGCACAAGGAGGGTTGCAAAGGGCACCCAGGCCCCCAGCTGCTTGGCCCTGTCAGACCCACAGTGTTGTCCTCTGTTAAGTGGGTGGTGGGTGGTCACTGTGAGGACGGGGTCAGGCGGTGCCTTCCAGCGCCAGGTGTGTGGTCCCAGGGACCCTCGCCCAGGCCGTCCGTCCTGCACCACCGGTGGCAGCCACTCCAGCCTGGTGAGACATGAGCTAGAAAGAGCCAGGAGTGCTAAGTTGGCAGAGACCAGCGTGGCCATCTCAGGCTACTGTCCTTGGAGTTTTCCCCACCCTGGGAGCAGAAATGAGGGGCGTGCGGAGTGCCAGGTGACACGCTGGTGCTGTGCCTCGTGGGACCCGCTACCTGTGCTGCAGGCCTGGCCGGCACAGGGGTGCATGGCTGGTGGAGCCTGAGAGGGACCGTCCAGCCCCTCCAGCCTGTCACCCCATGGACCCCGAGTGATGCTGAGGCGGCTGGTGTAGGTGCGTCTGCGGGTTGGGGCACTCAGACGCTGCCCGGCCTGCAGAAGCACCTGGGAAGCACTGCTCCTGGGGTGCTTGTTACATGTTCTGTCCCACTGGCCAGGCATGAGTAAAAGATGACCTTTCTCTTTAACTCTGTATTTTGATGTAATCTAAGAATCCTAGGAATTGCAAAAATCATGCAGAGAAGTCCTATGATCATTTTTTACATTGTTGTAGTATCTAAATAGCTGGTGACAATTCTTCGGGTTTTGTTTTGTTGTAGCAAATTTGTCACGCTTAGCTAGTGAAGAATGGGGGAGATAGAGGGAACCTACCGAGCCCTGCAGACCCCAGGGGCACGCCTGGGCACCCAGCCCCCCTCTGGAGTGAGCACCCTGGAGCCTGGGCAGGCTCCCTCGGCCGGCACCGCACCGACGGCGGCCCGCGCGCAGGACAAGTGCCTTCTCCTCAGAGTGAAGCTGCTGGACAGCTCCGTGGAAGTGTTTGACGTTGAGGTAAGAAGCATGATTTCTGGACATAGTTCCTTATGTTTTCTAAAAGTGAAGTATTTTGTCCCAAATTACATTTTGCTGGTTAAACTTCAAGAGTGGCCTGGTACCTGCCGATAACATCCTTGCAAACGGTGAGTCTGCACCCTCCTGTCCCTTTGGGGCACAGGACCTTCCGTCTCTCCTGTAACATTCTGATCATGTGGTCACTTCACTTGTCTCTGGGGAGGCGGGCGTGCTGCTGCAGAGCACAAGCTGGAACCGGGGCCTCCTGGGTCGGCCACTGGCTGCCTGTGGAGGCGTGTCCCCTAGCCTCACTGCGTGTCAGCTTCTTTGTCTGACATGTAGGGGTGACCACAGTGCCCCTGCCGCCCACTGGCTCAGGGTGGCTCGCCGTGCGGAGCCCGGATGGAGGTGCTGCCCAGACTGAGCACAGGGCCAGCTCCAGTCGCTCAGCCATGGTGACACTTGTGTTTTGGAAATTCTCTGCGATTCGAGTGAACTGATACTATGGACACAAACAGATGTGTGACTGTACCTCTGAATATACAAAACTCTTTAATAACAGTTGTAGACCCATATAATACATCAGAAAACTTTCCTTCTGATTTTCTAAATGACATTAGAATGGAATTTTTTCAAGCATTATTTTCAGATGTACCGAATAATGAATAAGCATATTATCTTTTAAAAGTATTTTTACGTTGACTCACAGTCATATCTCTACAAGCCCTTCTGCTGTAGTGTCACAACAGCGAGGACAAGAGAATGAACTTGAACTTCAGCAGGTTTATTTTGCATGGGTTTTTCTCTCAGGAAGCCCAGATGCTGCACAGAAAATACAAAGGTGATTGGGCTGCAGGCCAGGCTGTGACGGGCCTGGAGGAACGGCCCGCGGACCCTGGCGGAGCCGACAGCAGAGTGCGTCGCAGGGAAGGGGCGGCGGGGTGGGTGGCGGGCCGCTGCCTTGGGGCCTGTGCTCAGCCTCTGAACCCGGGACCGCGAGTGACTGTTTTAAGGTCGTATTTGAGGAGGGTATCCAGTCCCATTCTCTGAGGGCACTGATGACTGAAACTGGCGGGACCCGTCTGTCTGACCCCCCCCGGTCAGGAGGCCGCCTCCGCAGAGGAGGGAGTCTGGGCAGGCAGCCTGGCCCCGGGAGCACGGGAGGTGGCTGTCGATTCTGGGACAGCATGTCCCGGCCCACCAGGGTGCCCTTCCATGAACCAGGTTAAAGGCCTGGGAATTCGCTGGGCCCCCAGACCTCTCCCAGGCAAATATTCGGAAGAATTTCCACCACGCAGCCATCCTATGCTAAACATACTCACTGCGGTCTAGGCTTATAACAGGGTCGAAATTTTTGAAAGAAGGAAGAAAAGGAAAGAATTGCACTATGATTTACTTTCAGAGCTCCCCCCGCCCCGCCTGCTTGATGGTCTTTATCAGCTAAAACTAGGCCCAAGAAAGAAAAGCACACATGTATTGTTGAGTCATAAATAGGGTGTGGCCCTTCTCTGAGAAACTGGCTTTTCCTAAGTATCTGGGTCATTTTATACATAAGGAAATTAGAGATGGCATTTTGTAAACGTTTCAAAATATTTAGAGCTTGGAAAAGTTTTAACAAATTGAGATTGTTGTTTATATTAATCAAACTCAACCATCATGTTTGGTATTGGGATATACCTGGAGAGTCACCAGAAATTAAAGAATCAAATTGCTGCTGCACATCCTGAGGTGCATAAGGCGCCTTTAAAGTTGCCATTGCCTGCTTAGGCTTGCTGCTTGGGAGGGGTGAAAGTTCAGTTCTCGTAAGTTAATTGTTTTCTGCTTCCAAGCGCCCTGTCCTCCACGACCGTATCAGTGAGCTTTGCCAAGTAACAAGCCACCCCACCACTTAGCAGCTTAAAACAAGCGTTTGCTATTGCCTGCGCATCTGAGTGTTGCTTGGAGGTCCTCCTCGTCATCTGGCTCTGGGGGGCTGGGTGGTCTGGAGTGGCCTTGTCACATGCCCGCGTCCTCGGGGGCCTCCCTACCTGCAGACCTCCAGCGCCTGCTCCGCTTTGCCCACCGGAGGGCGAGGGAGAGGACGGGCGTTGCAAAGCCCCATGGGGTCTGTGTCTGGCACTCATGGATTGTCACTTCCACCAGGCTTGACTGACCCAAGCAAGCTCCCCGGCCAACCCCATCGGCGGGATGGAGGGAGAGCCACCAGGAGGGGACATGCCAAGGAAGCCGCAGCCCTCCAGCGGCTGGCGCAGAGCGGTCACCCGGGGCTCGGGAATGCGGTCCTGGAGAGGAGGCATCCGTGCAGCTCGGTGCCTGGTGCCAGCGGGCTGGGCCTGTGTGCCAGACGGGCGGAGGCGTCGCGGTCCTGCCCCAGGAGTGCTTCCCCCCAGCCCTCCCGAGGGGACTGACCCGGGAAGGCAGGTGTGCTCTGCTCCTTTCTGCCCCCGTGTCGCCCATCGGTCACAGCTCCAAAGACCCAAAGAGCCCGAGATCGAAGCCGGCAGCCCACCTGAGCCTCCCAGCCCGGCTGCACCGTCACTCCACGGGTTACGCGTGGCCCCACTCCCCGTCCTGTATGTCTTAACGGAGACACGTGGGCTCCGGTGAAATGGCAGTTGCTGTCGGGTCAGTGGCACGGGGCGGGGACGCGGTGTGGGCGTAGGCGCAGGGAGCAGCGAGGTGCTGGCCGAGCGAGGGCTCCCTGTCCTGGCGCTGGCCCCGGGTCTGTCCTCCTGGGAGGCGCGTCCCAGAGGCAAGGCTCTGCTCACCCCCCGCTGCCCTGGGGGTGTTTGGGCAGGGCCTGGCTCCGCACACGCGCATTGAATAAGCAAAATCCAAAGTTAGATTGGGGTAGCATGCTTTGTCTAAGAGGGTCTGGGTTTTCTTCCGCAGCACTGTTTTCTGACCTCAGGTTCCAGTGTTTCGTTTTGTTTGTTCTGGGGTTTGGGGTACCCCCCACCTGTCTCCTGTCTCTGTGTTTGGTTTACTTGTCCCCCGAGCCTTGAGTGGTGGAGTTTGTAAACTTTCAGGGCTGGGGTGCTGGCCCGACCTCGGAAAGCGCTGGCGTCCGCGCACCACTGGTGACCCCGGCGTTGTGGGGGTGGGGTAGAGTCCCCTGTTTGATGTGGAAGGGTTATACTTAAGGGACCTTTTTAACTCAGGGAAGAATTTGACATTTAGTTATTTTTGAAATGCCTGTATTTTGCTTCCATTGGAGGCCTCCCTCCCTGCCGGGTCACGTCTGCCTCTCCGCGCAGAGCCTGTGCCGACGGCTCCGAGAAGTCCGTCCTCCACGCGGAGCAGTCCTGCCGGCCTCAGGGCGCTGCCGCAGGCAGGCGTGTCGCCTGCCGCAGCGCCCGGGCCGGCCTGGGGCCCCGCCCCCCTGTGGGTGCCCGTGACCATGGCTGTCCGGGCGGAGTGGCAGGTTTGTTGAGAGCCGCACTGCCGTCCCCCCAGGAGACCCCGCACAGTCACTCTGCTTCCCCTCGGAAGGTGGTGCCCACACAGCCTCCGAATTGCCCGTCCGCGGTCAGCGGGCAGGAGAGCCTCCCGCCCCGGCGCCCCCTCTGGATCCGGCTGATGCGGGCTGGTCTCATTCCCGCCACCACCAGGGAAGGACCCCGGAGGCCAGAAGCCAGAGTCGGCACGAGCAGTCCATGCTCAAGGGTCACATTAACCCAAAAACATTTAATAGCTTTTCTGGGAATTCACCTACCATGCAGTTGACTTATTTCAAGTGTGTGAGTCGTGTGTTCACAGACGTGTGCAGCCGCCTCCACGGTCAGGTTCAGAGCATTCGCGTCACATCACAAAGACACCTCGCCCCGCCCCCCCCCCCCCCCCCGCCATTGGCTGTCGCCTGGCTGCCCGCCACCCCTACTCCCTCGGCTCCAACCGAGCAGATGTCTGCTCCCCGCGCACACCTGTCAGTGCCCGGACGTGTCGCGTGGGGGGGATGGTGTGTGGCTTCTGTGATTGGCTTCCCGCGCTGCGCTCTGCGTTTCAGAGGGCCGTCCACGGGACTCCTCAGGGCTTCCTTCCTTTTCACGGCCAAACGGTCCTCCGTCGTGTCGATGGGCCGCACTTCGTTCCTCCGTCATCGGCCGACGGGCATTCCCCCTTCTGGCGGCTGTGACGTATGCCGTAAATACCTGCGTGCGAGTTTTTGTTTCGCTGTGGTCCTAGGACTGGACCTGCTGGGCCCTGCGGTGACTCTGGGCTTAGTTGTTGGAGGAGCCGACATGCTTTTCCAAAGTGGCTGCGTCCTTTACACCCCGGCAGTGGTGCGAGGACTCCCGTTTCTGCACATCCTCACCTGCCCATCCGCATGTGCCTGCCTCTTCCGTTCTCGCCATCCTGGTGCGTGTGGAGTGGTATTTCAATGTGATTTGAGATGAAATTTTTACAAGTTATCCTTAATGGCTAAAGAAGGAAGGTTTTGAGCCAAAAATATTGGACCATGAGGAGGGTGCCTTTGGGGGTGGTTCCTTGGCTAGGTTGCGCGTAGTGGCGATGTTCACCCTTGCTGAGCGTGTTACACTCGGGTGTGAACATTTCTACCCCTGGGTCGGGAGACCCCCCCAGGAAGCACAGCTCAGGGCTGGGGAGGCGAAGCTGGCGGAGCGTGGAGGCTTGCTTGTAATATTCTTACACACGTTTCAAAGTTTCGTTTAGAGCTATCATGTAAACTTATATAATTGGGAACTTTAATTGACACTGAGTTGAAGTCGGTACTTACCTTGCTTGTTTGTGAGTGACAGCTCTCGGTGTCTGTGGCTCCCCTTGTCCCCTGTGCTCACTGTGGTTGTGAGGCGAGAGGCACTCCGGGTGTGTCGTTTGGGCGGCTGGTTGCAGTAAAGAGCCTCTCGGTGGGACCCGCACCCTGGCGCGGAGAACAAGAGACAGCTGTCGGCGCCCCGGCTGGGGCCCACTGTGGGCTTCGTGTGTCGCTTTTCAAGTGGGGGCTGACACTTACTGATGGGATTCCAAGTTACCGAAGG